AAGGGATCAAGCGTGCAGGGGCTTAAGGAGCGTGAGCAGAGTACCTGCCCGTTCTCAGGGCTGTCTGTTAAAAGCTTCTAAAAATACCCCAGGGACTCTGCCAGAAAAACAGGCCAGAGCCTTGTCCTCTGGGAACTTACACTTATTTTCTTTAAAAATTTTTTTATTATTTTAAAATATATATTTTTGTTGATTTTGGAGAGGAAGGGAAAGATAGAAACATCAATGATGAGAGGGAATCATGGATCGGCTGCCTCCTGCATGCCCCCTACTGGGGATCCAGCCCGAAACCCCGGCAAGTGCCCTAACTGGGAATTGAACCCTGACCTCCTGGTTCGTAGGTGACACTCAGCAGCTCCCAGCCAGCAGGGATGGACCCCCGAGGAGGCCAAGAAGGAGCGAGGAGCTGGCAAGGGAAGCAGGGAGGGCCGAGGGGCTGCTTCTCAGCCGAGACATACCCCTGCCTGGGCCTGGGGCTGCCTTCCCAGGACCTAGCAGCCAAGAGCCGAGCCTGAACCCATTGGTGGGCGGAGGCTGCGCCTGCCTAGCCCGGCCGGAAGCATGGACTCGCCAAGAGGTGCTGCTGTGCCCCTTCAGACCGGCTGCTGGTGGACACCGATGTGGGGTTTCCTGCTGCGGCAGGACAGCCTGCGGGTGTCAGGCCCTCCCTGTTCAAAGCGCTGTACTGCCTCTCCTCCCAACAACCTCGGGAATTAGATACTTGCGACTCCCAAGTTTGCAGGAGGGGAAACTGAGGCACAGAGCGTTAAGTGCCTTGCCCGGGCTCAGACGCCGCTGGGGGGATGGATGCAGCCCAGTGGGCGTGTTACATGGAACCACGTTTGGTCCCATTGCTGCTGCCTGCTCCCCCCTGTCCGGAGCTCAGAGCCTCTGAAAGCTGCGTGACTTCAAGTCACACTTTCCGGGCCGTTGACAAACCTGAAGGCTTGGCCACTGACCAGAGGGAGGGCCGAGGGCTGTGCTCTGGCGACAGGGAGGGGCTGAGGGAGTTTGCTCCGGGAAGATGGGGGAGGTGGCAGCCTCCCATGGGCTTCTCCCTGGGGTGCTCCGTGCCAGCACTCGAACCCCGATCCCGATCGGAAGCCTCAGGGGGCTGGCGGCATTGTTTCAGACTGAGGGCGACCAGGGAGTGGGGCGGTGAGGGGGCAGAGTGGGAGCCTGGGCAGCGAACTTGGGGTGCTGGTGCGGGATGTCTGCAGCAAATGGGGGTTGTGGGTCCTTGACTTGGGATCCTTCCCAGGTCAGAACCTCTATGAATCAGTCATTCAGGGTCAGTAGAAGCAGGCTCACCTGGGCAGCATCCCCGGGAGGGCCCCAGCCCCTGCGTGCACTCCCAGCAGGGCAGGATGGCTCAGTGAACCTTCTGTAACAGACAGCAGTGAGCGGCGGGCCCTGACCCCAGCAGCTCTCCCCGACAGGTGTGTGTCTAAGATCTTGGGACCTGAGTCAGGCTCCTGAGCTGGGGCCTCCTGTGGGGGACTTCCCTGCTGCTGGAGACCCCCTGGGTGCTTGCCTGTCTCCCCTTCATGGGTGGGTGTCCGCTCCCCAGGCCTGGCCAAGGACCCAGTGTGGGCATCGCGATGATGTCAACTCCGGGGCCACCAGGGCACTCTTCCCAAGAAGACCAGCTACTCTGACCCCTGCTGACCCAGAAAAGGGCGTCCGTGCAGGAGACGGGTCTTGCTTCTCCACCCAGCTGGCCTCCCAGCGGTGAAGGACTCACAGGCGCATGCCCAGGCAGGCGAGCCCTGGCGCGGGCAGCGAAACTCACAGGCCTGCGTCTGAAGCACCCCGTTTACCCCAGCCTAACTGGTCAGTGTTCCAAGACCTCACAGCCCCGGGCCCTCCTCTCTTCTCAGCAGCATCCCTAGCCCCGGTCCCTGGGGGGGACTCGTCACGCCATCTCCCCACCCCTCCTGCTATAGCGCGGCCACCAGGCACCTGGGGAGCGTGTGACAGGGGCTTTCTGGGCTGGGAGGCCGGGCGGGGGCCTGGGATCCTGCGTTTCTGACAGGCTTTCGGGGGACGGGGTGCTGCTGGGCAGAGGGCCTCGCTGTCATTTTATAGACACGAGAGCTGAGGCCCAGAGGCTTCCGTGATCGTCCGGGGGTTAGACCTTGGACTTGGCCTGTCCATGCCCAGGCCATCCTCTCCTTGGACAAGGGCCTCCCCCCCCCCGTCAGCTGCCACTTCCTGCTCAGGCTCAGGGCTCCAGCATCAGTGACAACCTATCTCCATCCAGTTTCATGTCAGGATGAGTGACGTCCTGTGCCACCGGGGCCCTTGCTGCACAGCCTGTGTTTTTGTTGTTGTTTTTTTTTTTTTTTTTTGCTATCTCCTCGCCAAAGGGGTTTCTGAAGGCTTTATTTTATTTGTTCTGAGTTATGGACACCCCCCTTTCTCTGCTGGGAATGCTAAAAAAATCACTTTTCATTTTCAAAAAGTGTGCTGGGCACCCGAGCTGGAGACCCGATGCTGGGCGAGGTCCACTCGCCCTTCCCTGAGGGGCCGAGCTAGAGGTCTGGCTGTGCCTCAGTTTCCCTGACTCTCGGGTATCTCAGAGACAACCCCAGAGGGGCCCTTGCAATGGCAAGGAGATGCCCAGTGGACTGAGGGGATCGGGATTGGCCAGGGCCAGTAGGCACTGGTTTGAGAGTCTGAGGCGGTCTCCACTCTCTGTCCCCTCCTGCTGGTGGGAGGGCAAAATGCCAGTGTGGGGACCAGGCCATCCTGGCAACTGGGGGAGAAGTCTCACGGGGCCAAGGGCAGGCAGAATGCGAGGGGGAGCCGGGGAACTGCCTTTTATAGACATGTTCTCTCCCTTGCCTTTCCCCCCAAGTTCACTCCCGGCGACAGTGCCACTCGCAGGCGCCAGGCCCGGCGGTGGCTGGCCCGGGCGGGCGGCACCGCGCGCCCCCTCCCCCAGCCCGCCTGCAAGTTGCATGACCTGCATCGGAATCCGCAGGGGGCGGGGAGGACCTTTCAGAGGCTGAAAGCGGCTGAATTCCGGGTCTTCTTTCCTCGCCTGCCCTCGCCCCAGCCGCTTCCTTCTCCCGGGAATGAATGCTGTGTGTGTCTGCCTGCCGGGCTCCCTAACCCTTTCTTCCCCTGCGCCCGCCAACGCGCCGCTCCCCTCCCAGGCGCACGGCTCTCACACTTGGCATTTTGACGTTTTATTTAAAAAAAAAAAATTAAAAAAAAAATGAAGTCCCTACCGAGAAAGTAGGGACTCCTCCTTCCTCTCCCCTGGGGACCCTGAGCGCCCGCCAAAGGTCGGCTGCACCTGCTCTGCGCCCCTACCAGGAAGGGGTGGCTGGGGGGAGGGGGGAAGGGAAGGAAGGAGGTGCCGCACCCCCATCCCCGAATCCATCCGGAGACAGTAGCCCGCCCGCCCCTCACCCAGCAGCCAGAGCAGCGCCCCAGAGGACGGCCCAGCCCAGAAGCCGGCGCTGACAGGGCTGGCCTGGCGCTTGGCAAAATCTGCCCCTTGCATCTCAATTCCCCCTGCCTCTCCACGCAGGGCCACCTGCGCTCCTCCCCTGCCTGCCCAAGGCCCCACGGGGGGCACAGCCTGCCGCTCAGGAGGCGCAGGGGGGCACGGAGGCACCCACGGGGCGTGCCCCGCAGCCTCCTCCCCGCCGGGCCCCGCGCCGGGTCTCCCCATCACGGAGACGAGAGTCATTTTAGCCGAAGGACCACGCGTCCGCGGCCCTCCTCGGGGCTCCGGGCATCCTGTGCGCTCCCTTCGGCGAGCCGTTGCCCCCCACCCCCCCTCCCCGCCCGGGCTCGGGGGCGCTCCCCCGTCACCTCGGCCGCGCTCGCGTCCCTTCCTCCCCGCGGCGGGGATTGCAGCAAAACCGGGCAGCGCGAGGGCCAGAAAGTGGGCAGGAGAGCGCCTTTCCGCATCGCGCCGCCGGCCGGCCAGCTCCTCCTCCCCCGTCCAGACCCCCGCGATCCCGCCCGCAACTTTTCCCCTCCGCCCGGGTCCCCGGGGCCGCGGCCAGCGGGCGGGCGCCGGGCCGCGGGGCGTGGAGCGGGCGCGCGGCTGCGGGTGGCGGTGCGGACGCGAGCCGGCGAGTGGGTGGGTGGGTGGGTGGGTGGGGAGGGAGGAGGGGAGAGGACGGGCGGGGAGAGGGAGAGAGGGAGGGAGGGAGGGAGGAGAGGAGGGGAAGATTCCACTCTCCTGCCGCTCCCAGCCCGGGCGGGGGGCGGGGAGGAGGGAGGGGAGCGGGAGGGAGGGAGGGAGGGAGGGCGCCGAGGAAGACGCTCTGAGCACCCGTGCGTTTCGCAGGCTCGGAGCACATTTCTGCAGGCGCGGCGAGCCCTCCGCGGCGGCTGCGGCAGCTCCTCGCACACCCTCCTCCTTCCCTTCCTTCCCGTCCCTTCCCTTCCTTCCCTTCCCCGGGCTCCGGGCGCCGCGCGTGTGCGTGTGCGTGTGCGAGTGTGTGTGTGTGTGTGTGTGTGTGTGTGTATCTTGCAGGTGTGTCCGTTTTAATTCTGCCCAGTAGGTGGGACTTGGTGACTTTAGCACCATTCTCCTCCTCCCCCTCCTCCCCCGTTCCTTTTTTTTTTTTTTTTTTGCCTCCCCATCGTCTGTTGCAACCCTGCAAAGTCTCGGAGTGGGCGAGCGCGGCTCGCTTTCCCCGGCCCCGGAGAGCCGCGAGCGCCCAGCCGGCCACCATGCCGGGCGGACCGAGCCGCTAGGCGCTCCCCGCGGCTCCCACCCGGCGGCGGCGGCGGCGGAGGCAGCGGCAGTGGCGGCGGCGGCGGCGGCGCGATGGTTTCCGACGCTGAAGGATTTTGCATCTGATCGCTCGGCGTTTCAAAGGCAGAGGCCCCCCTCCCCCTCCCCCCTCCCTCGCTGTCTTTGTTTCCTAACCCCCCCCCACCCCCCACCCAGCTCTCCCCGCTGCCCCCACCCCAACCCCCCTCTCCTCTCCTCTCCTCCTCCTCCTCTCTTTTAGAAGCAGCGATCGGAGATGGATGTCTCTCTCTGCCCGGCCAAGTGTAGTTTCTGGCGGATTTTCTTGCTGGGCAGCGTCTGGCTGGACTATGTGGGCTCCGTGCTGGCGTGCCCTGCGAATTGTGTCTGCAGCAAGACGGAGATCAATTGCCGGCGGCCGGACGATGGGAACCTCTTCCCGCTCCTGGAAGGGCAGGACTCGGGCAACAGCACCGGGAACGCCAGCATCAACATCACGGACATCTCAAGGAACATCACTTCCATGTAAGTCAGGCGCCGCTCCCTCCCCGGCCGCCTCCCCTGCCCGCCCGCCCGCCCGCCGGAGGCTCCCCCTCGCTGGCTCTCCCGCTGCTCAGCCCGGAGCTGGGGCCGCCCTCCGCGCCCCAGGCTCGCTCTGGCTCGGAGATGCTCGGGCTGCGTACGCAGGTGGCTGGCCCTGTCCAGGCTGGTCCTCTGTGCGTGTGTGTGCCTCTCCGGGAGCAGACCCCCGCCAGCGAGGATGGGGGGGCCGCCCGCCCCCGCTCCCACCCGCTGCGGCTGGTTTCCAGGGTGCCAATCGGGTTCTCTTCCCCCGTGAAATAGCAACAGTTTGGCCACGCTCAAGTGGGATAAAGTAGAGGAGGTTCGAGCCCCCAGCATTGGTGCTGGCTGCGGTGGCAGCAGGCACAGAGGCGCTGAGCCCAAAGGGAAGGTGGCAGGGACTGCCGGCCATCCCATCGGGCAGAGATGTTTCACTGTTTCCTTTTGGAAAGAGCACACAGCACGCCGACAAGTAAACAAGTTGAGAGCTGGCTGCTGTGTGTGTGTGTGTGTGTGTGTGTGTGTGTGTACACGCGCGGGGGGCGGGGGAAGTGTGTGTGGGGGAGACTTTGGACAAGGCCAGGCCAGCATGGACGCTCACCCTTGCCTGCCTTCTGCCTGCCCTCCCCAACCCCATTTTGGGCATTTCCGAGACCCCTCCCCTCTCTCCTCTTCCCTGCATCTGGGCGCCCACAGATCACCCCTGTTCCGCGGAGAACAGCTGGGGATTGACAGTCAGGATGGCGAAGGGAAACGAGGGCTTGCCCGCTTTGCAGCCGGGGCTTCTGATATGATCGCGCAGATCTGTTTATTTGGAAAACTGAACTCTGACCCGTGCTTGTACGGTTCCTCCCCCATAAGTGAGCCCTGTGGTGGCCTGTTCTCGTCTGGTGATGTTTCCTGGGCAGGGAAGCGGCCGGAAGCCTGGGCAGGGAGCAAGAACTTGGGGTTCAGGGAGCCTGTCCATCTTCTCTTCCCCTGACCTCAGCCAGGTGACCCCCCTCTTCTTCCTGCCACCAGAGAAGGGTGGGGATGGCCTGCCGCTCTGGCCTGTCTCTTCCCAAGGTCCCACCCCTTGGGGGCTGGTGAAGTGGGTGGGATGCTGGGAAGGGTTCTCACTGGAGTCTGAGAAGGCATTTGGGGGACTGGGTGCCAGTGGGGGACTGAGTGCCGGTGGGGGTATGTGTGAATCTGCCATTGGCTAGGCTCTCTCTCTGGCGCCAGCCCTCCCTGTGCCCGAGCCCCAGCGAGATGGGGCTGCGAAGCCAGGAGGAACTCAGTCCTCTCTCTCGCAGCCCACAGCCCTCGGCTAATGGAGTCTCTGCTGGCGTTCTGGCAGCCAGCAATTCCAGGGGAGCGCTCAGCCCAGGAGAGTTCCCACTCCTGGCCCAGGAGGCAAGCCTGACCCATATCCTGGCGAAGCCATTCAGCCCCTCGCCACCTCCAGTGCCTGGCTGGCTGGAGAGGACCCGAGGAGCAGCAGGGTGGGGGGGGCAGGAAAACAGTCCGGATAGACCATGCCTCTCCCACCCTGCAGGCCGGGCATTCGGGCATGCCAGGGCGCAGGAGGGTCTGAACCAGATTGCTGGAAACTCCGAGTCCCCGTGCACGCTCAGGATTGTATGTGTGTGGAGGTGGGGAGCCCAGGAATGGGTCCCAGGGCTCGGCAGAACCTAGGGAATTTCTGGGGCCTGTGGGGGCCAAGGGGTCCCCGGTGCCCAGGGGAGGGGGTCTCCGGGAGCTGGGAGCTCATCCGGCTTGTTCTCTGCTCTGTGCCGTGTGTATCTGTGGGAAATTGGTGGGTGGCAGGGGCAGCCACCGTCGTGAAGGCTCCGTACAGCCCCACAGAGCTGTGGCTCCTTTGAAAAGAAGACTTGGGCGGGGGGGGGGGGGGGGGCTGTTTGGTAGCAAGAGTCCATGTGGTGTTTCCAGGCAGAGAGTCCAAGGTGGGGGTGCCGGGAAGGCTGGCGACGGGCAGCCTCTCTCCCCTTTGCCACAGGAGGACCCCCAGAGGGCATCTGCGGGGACCGGGAGACCCTCTGTGTGTGTCCCCATCCTTGTTTCAGGGCCGGGACTCCGGCCAGGGAACTGGATTCTCATAGGCGCTCCGAAGAGGGCGGGTGGGGGGAGGTCAGAGGTCGTGGGTCGGAGGCCCCCTCCTCACCTCTCTCCTCCCCAGTGCCCAGTTATGTCTACGGCTGGTATTGACCCTGCCTCAGGCCCAGAGGCGGGACGGAGAGGGAGGGGAGCATGCAGACCCTGGGGAGCAGCTGTCACCATCCCTGCTCCCCGCCGGGAGTGGGGCTCAGGGCGGCCAGGTAACTCTCCCAGGCACACAGTCCTGGGGGGCCAGGCCCTGAAGCCGGCACCCCACTCTGGAGCTGCCCTGGAAGCAGCCAGAGGAGGCAGTAGGGCAGAGAGAGCTTCTGGCAGGGAAGGGGCCTCGCCGTAGAGGAGCCTGGTGCTGCCAGGGATGAAGAGCCAGGGGTCTCCCAGCCGTGTCACCAGGGGTGCCCTCCGGACTTCACTCTCCTGGTCTGGGGGCTCTGGTCCCTCCTCTCGGTGGTGCGTGCTGTGGCTCCTGTGTACCCACTGGGGGCTCCTCGGATGGGGAGGTGTCCCCCCCCCCCAGTATAAGGAGGAAATCAGCTGCCAGGCATCAGGGCAGCATGTGGGTCTCACCTCTGCCCCTCCCAGCGCCCAGCGGCTCCAGCGCCCCCCCTTCTGGCCTCTCTGTGCCGAGGAGGCCGGTCCCTGTGCCAGGGCAGCGCTGACACGCGGTGACCTTACCTGGAAGGGCCCACGCGCAGCCGCGCCCAGCCGGGCCCTGACGTCACAAAGGCAGGCAGGAGGGTGGTGGCCGGGAGGTGGCTGTCTGGGCCTCTCTCGGGCCAGGCCGGCTCGGGGATGGGTGGGGATGGCGCAGCCTTAGACCGCTGGGAGGGAGGTCAGGGGGAAGATGGTACCGCGGGGCTGGGTGTCTTGGGGTTGGCTTCCGGGCATGGGCTCTTGGCTGGTGCTAGTGGGCACCCGCTAAGTCTCCCTGCCAGCCCCTGCAGCGTCCCCGGGGTTGGCTGCCCACCCTCGGGCCCGCCCCGGGTTGGGTGGAGGGTCTTTCGGAGCACTGGCTCCTTGCCCCTCAGCCTCTCCAGGGATCTGGGGCACAGCCAGCCTTGGCGGTTACCACTGAGAGCCGGGGCGCAGACCGGGGGGTGGGCCAGGCCCCAGAGGCATTGTGGGGCCTTAGTCAGGAGCCCCAGGATTGGGGGCAGGCCTGAGGGGGGAGCTGAGTGGGGAGGGGCCTTTGAGGAGAGCTTTGGAAGCGGGAGGGGATACTGCAGGGAAAGAGGGGCTCCAGGGTGGAAGTTGGGGAGCTTGGGCTCTGAGTCTTGGGATGCAGCCTGGAGGCCGGTTGGGGTAGGCCCCGGGAGGGGTCTCCTTGGAGCAGAGTCTTTGCTCCTGAAAGCCGAGGTCAGTCTCCCGAGGCCCCAGGGCTCAGCCCCGCAGCAGGAGGGGCCCGAGCACGTGACAGCCTGGGCAGAGCCATCCAGCCCGATCCCCGAGTCTGGAGGTGCTCGGGGCCCTGCAAGGCGCCTGCTGCCCTCCGCATGGCCTGAGTGGTTGTGAAGGAGGGAGGGGCCTGATGCTGCCCCCTGGCACACTCCCCCCTGCCCTCCTGCCCCTGCCCGCTGATGTCTTCTGTCTGTCTGACGGTGGGGATGGGCGGCCCCACCCGCTGGCTCGTGGGGGGTGTGGCCCTCCCGGCGATGGCCCTCGGCCAGTCTGTGGCGTCTCCGGCTGCCTGGCCCCGCTTCCAGTGCTCGTTGAATGGCTTGTTCCGGGACCCCTCGGCCTCCAGTGGACGATGGCAGAGTAGGATTCAGGAAAGGGATGGGACCCAGCACCCCTGGCTCCGCTCACGTCCCAGTGTGAGGCACCGTTGCCCTTCTGAGCCTGAAAGTTCTACGTTGGGCTGAGGCCACAGGGCAGTGTCCCCTCCATCGGGGACATAGGCCCTCCCAGGACGCTCTGCAGGGCCACCCCTTCAGGATGGCGCTGACCCCTCGGACGCCAGAGGGCACCCCCGTGGCCATTTTCCCCTTTCCTGCCTCTAGGGAATCAGGGCACACACCGTGGGGTCGGCGCCCCACACCAAATGCTGCACACAGCACGGGCGCCAGGCCTGCACACAGCACGGGCGCCGGCTCCCCGGCTCCCCATTCACCGGGGCTCAGGGCTGGGGGTCTCCTCAGAGCCCCAGCCAGTTGCTGGGCCTGAAAAGAAAATGCCAGAACTTCTCTTTCACACCCTCCCTGCCTAGAAAGAGGGATGTTCGATACGTAACGCGTGGACCGCAGATACACACGCACACGAGCGCTTTGGGGTTGCGAGATAAATGTTTCATTGCTGAGGAATACGTAATCAAGAGCTCGCTGCCGCCGTGTGCAGGGGAGGTCTGAGCTCCAGAGGGCGATGGGTGGCGATGGCAGAGGCCAGCGGAGGCCCTGGCTCGCCGGCTCTGTTTCCAGGAGGGGCTCATCGGCGGGGAGGGGGAGCAGGTGACGTGAGGGGCTCAGGCTGGGTGGCAGAGCGGATCTCTGCTCCCCATCAGGGTCCCCAAGACCCCCTAGTCCCCGAGGGCCAGGCCAGTTCTCGCAGCCGGTCTGTCCATCTGCTCAGCACCCTGCCTTCTTGGCCCCTGCGGAGCAGACTCGTCATCCCCGTGCCCGCCCAGCGCTCCTCCCCACCCACCGTGCTTCCCGCTTACGGTCCTCGGGTTGGCTCTCGGGACAGCTGCTGGAGGTGCGCAGGCAGGCTTACCTACCAGTCCCATTTACTGGTCACCGAACAACAGGACAAAGACCGGGATTTGAGTCCCCGTGGTGGAGTTGCCAGGGGTCCACGGAAGAGGGGCCACCCACCGTGGACCGTCTAGATCTGGCCACAGACGGACAGATCTAGAA